GACGATACGGCCAACTATACCGACTACTAAGCAGAAAATCTAAACTTTCCATTGAAAACAAGCTACTGATCTACAAGACAATACTGAAACCTATTTGGACTTACGGACTAGAACTGTGGGGATCAGCAAAATTTTCTAACATCAAGCGCATCCAATCCTTCCAGTCTAAAGTCCTTCGAACAATAGTCGATGCTCCTTTCTATGTATCCAACAAAACCCTACATCATGACCTTAACATCCCATTTGTCCTAGACCTTATCCCAGAAAAGTTCTCCAAATTTCACCAGAACCTTACTTACCACCCAAATCCTCTTGCACAATCCCTATCAAGCATCTCCCATCCCTATAATCCTCCAAGAAGGTTGAAACGGCAGTGGCCTCGCGACCTTTTGTAAATTATATAAATTGGAGTTCTGGCAATGGCCAGATTCTTCACTCAAGACATGTGTGTATGTGGCTAAAGTGCTCTCGACCAATCTCCGCTGGCTTTAGTACCAGTGACGCGGTTGGAAGAGTAGCGCAGGGTTCTCCTGGAGTTCCCTCGCCTGATTGTATATAGGTATGCATGTTATTTATTTTTATTTTTTTTTCCTTAGTTTTAATTTTCTTATTTTTTAGGTTATTTTATTTTATTGTCTATTGTATATACTTTTGATTATTATTTTGTTCTATTTATTTTATTTTTTTGTACATATGGTGTGAATGTCATCCTACCTCACTATAACCAATGTCGAACAGACAGATTGTTATAATACTCAATAAAGAAATTAAAAAAAAAAAAAAAAAATTTTGAAATATGTTTATATAACTCGTGTACCTCCTTTCAGAACGGAAAATCTGGTTTAAGAAAACTATTTATTTTTGGACAGTAAATTAAGTTGTTCTTTTTTAAATAAAACCGCTGATTGTATTTTTTTTATTTTTATGTAAGTTTTCTTAAGTTTATTAGCTTTTTATTTATTCAAACAGATATTTGCCATAATTTATTATATTAGTTAATAATCTGAAGTTTATAGTGATTAAATTTTATAATTCACGTTTATAATCCTCAAAGGATTATAAGAAAAATATTTATTAAAAAAAATTAAATTACCTTTGAAAAAAAAAATTAAAATTATGGAATCCTTGAAAAAACAAAACAAAACACAGTCAGTAGCTCTATTTTAAAAACGAAGACTTTTATCTGAATCAGCGGTTGTATTAAACCAAATTTGGCGTTAAAACGAAGCACGAATTATAGAAGCCTAATATAAATAAATATCTTAAAAAACAAGAAATGGATACACGCTGTTATGAGAATTAATATTCTTTATACATATGGGAAATTCTTAAACGATTGTTGGAATTCAGCACTTTTATTTATTCATATACTTAACCACAGATGGCTCAGAGGTTCCATCAGCTTTTGGGATCGATGGGCCCGGCCCGCTGGATGTAACATCATTATATCATCAGTGTTACAATTTCTCAATTTAGTACACCATATTTACATCTAGTTTATTTCCTACCAACATTTATTTCTATTTTGGAATTCAACTATTAAGTACATAGGTATTTCTCAATATATTTAATATATTTTTCATGAGTTTTGTAAACTTCGATGAGTATTAATCTTCCTCTAGATTCCATCAGTTCGTTCCTAAACTCAGCATATCTAGCCATACATTACTGCTGGATTCAATCGAATGATGAAATCTATAGTGTTTAGAAACGCTTAGTGTTTACTGTAGCTTAACGCTGAGTTCAGACTCTTGCCAATACTGGTATAATTGACTTGTTTTTATTATCATAACTAGAAAAAAACCTCAAGCAGTATAAATCATTTAAGCAATGCTTAAATACTAAAACAAGGATAAAAAAGTGAGAGCATGAAAGATAAAAAAGGTTAGAGCATATCCTTGAGACTTGGCAAAGGTTCGAATAGAGAGGAGTGTTGGGGAATCCCACGTGACAAGGGGTCGCAATGACGTGTGTCCTAAATGCTTCCAAGCGTTACGTGTAGTGTGGTTCGTCACGTCCGGCGCCAAACTACTTCCTACCTTTATTACACATATTTTAGTTTTATGCGCATTTCACTTGACAGAATGACCAACTACAATTTCAAAATTTTTGATTACTAATTTTAGTGATATTTCTAGTTGGAAAATTTATATCTTTATCCACAACACTGCGATCACCTACTCTGGAATCAACTTATTCACTGCCTGGAGGACAGATATGATAAATTTTCCAAGAAGAAATATCACTAAAAATGACGGCTCAAAAATGTTGAAACTGGAGTTAGTCATTCCGTCATATGAAAGGCTTATATATTAAAAGAGCCAATTATAAAACGGTTATAGATGTGAGAAAGGTATATAATATTGTTCTAACTTGATAACACAACTTACTTGAATTATAAATTATAAATCCAAACAATCGAAAAAAATACCTGCCCTCTAGTTTATATTGACAACAACCAAATTCCTTAAACGGACTAAACTTCGACAGGAAGATGAAATGGAACATTTATCCAAAAAATAAAACGAGAGATTCTTAACAAACGACTTAAACTACTTAATTCACTTTTTTTCGAAACCTTTGAGTCTGAGACTGAATACAATATAGATACTAACATACTCCCATATGGACATACTCATCACATAAACGGTATCGCTGAAATGGAACATAAACTTCAATCCCTTTGATCAAAATTATTACAACAAAAGCACCTTGATCCGTGACTAACAAAACTCAAAAAAGTACAACTTCCACTTACCAACATATAACGATCCATATAACGATCAACGGACATAACAAAAGTCTAACAAGAGACATAGCTACGGCTAACATAAATCTGAATATGAGGAGGCCAAAAAGGCACTGCATGAGGGATCTAATCCACATGATAACAAGAAGAGAAAGAGATGCTACCAGAAACTGCCTATGCCACTACTTCTTGGACAATCATCTCATTTGCTGATTGTCAACATACTACAGTTGACAAGTACGAATATGTGTTCAAAGAAAACAGAAGTGTAGAATAGCTTTTATCGGATAAATTTGGGACTTTTATTTGAAGGCATTATTATAACCTTAAACACGACGCTGAATATGGTTGAATGATCACAAAATATTTATATCTGATGTAGAACATTTAATAAATTTCTCATAACTATGATGGAGTACGTGAAAGATAAAAGACAGCGAATGTATTGCTATTTTTCCTAAAAAACGGTTTTACTTTGGTCCCAGTTCATTATTTGTTTAACAGCCAATATCCAAAAAAAATTGAAATTAGAAAACTTACATCATTTTTCATTAGACTGTTAACTTTTAAACTGAGGTTCAGAAGTCTGAAAGAATTCATCAACATACCTCCTGTTTTCGAAAATTAAGAATTGTATATTAGATTCGATAAAAGATGAGTCAACAGAAGAATTCAGTCACACAAACCAGTATTGCATGTTTTAGTGGACGTGCTTTGAATTGTGTCATCCTAGAAACTGTACATGGTTGGGTGAAAGGAGGTTTATAGACAAATACAGCTGATGGTTCGCCAATCTTCATAATTGCCATTATAATAGCATATTAATACCGCTTTAATCTAAACAGACATTAAAACTTTAATTAACTATCTGTTTTGAAGTCAACACGGCGCGGAGATATGTTGCCACTAATTAATTATCCAAACTGTGGGAACTAGTCGAATAATGTGGTGGGAAAGTTTCCCTTTAACTTCTCCCAAATAGGGATTTATTACCGGGAATTCGTTTAGGGCTTGGCAAAGAGGTGAAACATTCCGAGGATAAATCCCAAGTAAAGAACTTGGCAGAAAATGATTATGAAAATTAAAAATAATTTTCAGAGCTAAGATAAAGAAAATTTCAGGTATAATGTATAGAGAATAAGCGAAGAATTAGAGAATATTTTATTTTTTGTATTTAGTTATTTTTTTTATAGCCCTTTCAAGATAAATAAAAACGATCAATCGAATAAATTTTCTTAGTTAACATGTACAAAGTAATTAGCAAAAAGATAATTAAATTGAAATTTAATAGTTTATATAGTAATCAGAAAATTTAGTATTAGGACTGTTTATCGTAAATACCCGTTCACGGTCTTCAGATTTATATATAATGGCCCACCGAACCGCTGCTTTCGATGAATCTTTTATTATTCGATCCTCAACCCTATGGAACTCCATCCCTCCACACATCCGTCAATCCAAAACCCTTCCTACCTTTAAATCCCGACTGTTTAATCATTTCTTATTCATCCAGTCCTCATAAAATTGCAAATAGTTACTACTGTAAATATGTATATAAATTATTAGAAAGTTTTCATTATTTTTACTTCATATTTATTTTCAATTTTTTATTTTTTATTATTAACTGATTAAAATTAGAAAGTAATTTATAGTTTCTTTTATTATTATTTTTTTATTTTGACTATTTAATCAAACTATATTCTTGTTTAGGTATCTCTGAGGCTCCTTAGCCCACATTTTTGTCTTTCTGTATTATTTTAAAGGGACTCGTCCCAGAATAAATAAAGCATTATTATTATTATTATTATTAAATACGATTGACGTTTTAGTTTTTTTATAGCACTGTTTGAACTTTTTTTTTTTCAATTCATAGACCAATGAGTTTATTTATTTTTATAATGTAAACTTCTATGAGTAAGAGAATAAAACACTTTTTTAAGGAATAGCTTAAAGAATCGTAGGAGGAAGTTAGTAAATTTAACTGTTTATATTTAACGAACCCGACACGGAGTAATTGAAGTAAGAGTTTTTGAACCGCCACTCTTAAATCTTTGAGATTTTTTATTACTTTTAGGATTTCAGGTGTTGAGAGTAATTATTTTAAATTTTTTTTTTTTTTTTTTTTGGCGCCCGTCGGATACTAATATATTATGGAATCAATATGATGTTACTGTTGAATGGACATAGATGTTGGAGGGAACAGAAAAACGCTCGTGAAGATGGAGGATGGATACAGAGATATAGAGAGCCGATGGTAAAGAAAACGCTGAGAAGGCTGGGAGGGCTGCTCAAGGCCAAAGGCGATGACGCAGCTCCCCGCGGTCTTTCTCACGTCCGACATCCGAGGGGGTCTTACATCTGCCCGGCTGGTTGTCGAGGAAAACTCTGTAGAAGAGAAGTGGCCTAGGGCGTCGAGGGTTATACCGCTAGAATGGCTTTCTACAATTTTATTTCAACTGTTTAGAACATTATCCCAGTAAAATCAATCCACGTATACGAGAAAATATTCGAAATGAGTGGTAGGAACCAGTTGAGGTACATGTACCGCCAGAGCGACCATAGAGGTATATAAATATCTAGACAGCCATGGCATTATCTCGAGTGCTGCAGAGGCGGCATGCAGTGCCCGCAGCAGGGCCGCACCTAGTCTCAGTGCGGCAAACCTATGATTCAGCATCTCCTTACACAAGAGCTCTTAGCGACGTTGTCTACTTGTGCGGTGTAAAACCGGCGAGCAATAGAATGAATTGCATCGAAATTCATAATCGACAATAATAATATAATAAGTATGACTGTTAGTTTTATTTTCGTTTGATTGATTTTTCTATTTACTCATTTCTAATAATTTATTATCATTAATATTTATTTATGTAATTTTTTTTCTCTTTTTTCCTTAAGAATTGTCTGTATTATTTCACTACAAGCTATATTTCTTTGTTTATATTTTTGTTATATATACATTATTATCTTTTATATATCTATTTTTATGTATAAATAATGTACAAACATTATTTTTTTTATTATATTGTAAATATGGTATAAATTTGCCTTACAGCTTTAATACTCAGTACCCTTAAGTGTGGTAAAATGCATTATACCTCAATAAAAAGATTAATAAAAAAAAAAAATAATATGATCTATTGCTTTATTAAATTAACTGACATATTATGGGACATCAGGCTATAAGTAATAATAAGTATACTAATAAACGTTCGCTTCCCGAATAAATTCATAAGAATATAAACATATGAAACCATTTAAAAAAAAAATCCTGAAAATTAATTTTTTATTACAATACAAATCACAATTTTAATAGAGCAGCACAAAATAATACATATTCTAATTCAATCAATAATAATCATCGAAAATAATTCAATGCTTACAGATAATTAATTATATGCCGTGGACTCTATTTATACAAAAGAATTACTTAAGACTTACAACATAGATACGAAATTAAAAACACAAGAACCAGACGATATAATTAACACTCAAATATAAACTACAAATCATCACTTAACCTACAATACAAGCAGCTTGTTTATAAAATTAAATAAAACACGATGTAAGACCAAATTCTTTTAAAAAATAGATTAAATAATAGTATATTTTGAATCACACTATACCTACGTAACGATTTTTAAGAATTAGTAAAATAAGACAATTATATTTCACTCTTCAACCCAAAATCTCAGGTACATCAAGCAGCAAATCAGAGAAAATAACAGTTACATCAAATTAACACTCTACTGTTTTAGTTCTGCGCTTTAGTTAGTTCTGTAGTTGTTAATGGCGTAAAATAAAAATGAACCAATCACTCCGAATAGTAGACAGGAAATAAGGGGGGAAAAAAGGAACAAGTGTCTGAAATGAGATTCCACAGGAATATCGGAGGAAAAAATAAAAGATACTTCGTACGTAATACAGGGATTGATTCAATCCAACATGGACGTCAAAATAGTATGGAATAAATGGGTACAAGAAAGTAAACCAATCGGCTTGCTAAGATGATATATGAAGTCAAGATTGATGGCAGGCGGTCCAAGGTCACGAAACTAAAACGGAATAGGAACGCACTAGTGTACAAAGTTGTGCAATTTCGAACCCAAGCGAGGCACAGTGGGACGAAATTTTCTGTACATGGGTTTTTCACTCAGATATCCCTTTAAATAATTTAAAAGGGTTCAAACTCAAATGTAATTTGTCGTACTAAATCTAATGGTAGAATTGATTTGATGATAGAAGTTAAGTAAGAGGATATTTTTTAGTTCTTATCGAATCTTGAATCAACCACCTATAAATAAATAAAAACAATTAATAAGTAACTAAAACCTAAAACCAAATAGATCCAGTAAAATGTATGTGCTGTAATATTTTAGAACGTAATTGCAACTCAAAGCTCTGAAAACTTATTGAAGGTATTTTTTTTTATAACATCCAAGCAGGACTTCACGAACATAGTGATAAGGAGCACACAAAGAATAATGATAAAATAATATAACAATGATAAGGATAATATCAGGCCGAATTCATGACAGATAAATCCATCGATCAAATATTCATTTTGCGAATCGTTATTGAGAGCTCTAAAGAATATCTAATTGGCATAAACCACATCTGCATTGATATAAATAGGCTCTTTTACACTTCGAGCACACCAGTGAATTTTTGCATTTGGATTAAAACATTTCAGAAACTAAAAATAGGACTTGCATGTTGTATGCTAGGGAAATGTAGAGAATTTTATCTTCTTTGTAACGAGCTATTAATCAAAATTGTACCTTGATGTGACATCGTGTTAGAGAGGAGAAAAGGGAAAAAGATAGCGTCACTGGCGTGCTTAAAGTAAAAAAAAAAAAAAAGCCAAGAAGCATATGAACTCAATATACCAGGAGCCATTTAAAGTCATGATACAGATGAATGTGCCACCAAATTTTGTTTTAAATAGTCCATATATATTGTAATTGCAACTTCATACGTTGTAATCAACAATTATAAAAATAACCATATTTTCCAATGCCTTAATAATAATACTAAACTTACAAGTGAAGAACAGTATTCTTTAAGAGTGTTATTGTCGAGTTGAATACTCACCTGAAACAGAAAAGAAATTCATGTTAAAATTAGTTATACAATAAGTGTTGACATTAGCCAATAAATAAATATAGATGAAATGTTTACGTATTGAATAAAATTTGAAATATGCTAAATAAAAAAAATCCCAACGAAATAAGGAAGAAGAGCGTAGAAGCGGGTGAACGTTCTGGATTGGCATACAATCGATGGGCAACCGCCATGAATTATTCAAAAGCAGCGACATAGAAATTCCTAATGAAATCACTGCAATGAATTCGGACGCATCCTCATTAAAATCCCATGTTTTCATTTGAAACCAAATGGGCTTGCTGTATAAATATTTAATGGGTTTTTAAACTTTTTATAATGAGAGTTTGATTGGCTCAATGCTCTTATTCAATTTGCATGCCGTTGAATTATAGATATATTTTCATTATATCAAATATAAATACTCCCGACCGCATGTTTAATTATATATTCGTGTTCAATAGTGTCTTGAAACATATAAATTGTAACAGTACAGATTTCATAGTTATAAGAGGTTCGGGCGATACGAGGGACGAGCATTCGGCCAGCCTCGGGTTCTTAGACGTTTCAGGGCTAACAGTTCCGAAACTGGAACAAGTCGTTGAAGGCGAGGACAAGGACAGCAAATGGTAACAACGGCGCAGTTCAAAACCAACCACTGCAAAAATACCACAATATATTAAGAGTAAAACCCCTAATATATACAATATAATTATACTGAATATTATTATTATTGGAATTTTGACTTATTAATACTTAACTCCAGGCACTAACGGATCCTGGATTTAATTTGGGGGAGGGGGAGGAACTTCAGCCCGAAAGATTTTTTTGTATGTATATATTAGGATAATTAATTCGGAAGAAAGATAGGAACTAATTACCTACGTGAAAAGGTGTTTAAGTGATTCTTTAAGTACTATGAAATGTAACTAGATGAACAAACTTTTAGACATGATTCTTTTAATAAAACATAGTTTTATTTGACCATTTTGGGGGAAGGTTGGCTTCAGCCCGAAAGCCCCCCCCCCTCACCCATAGATCCGCCTTCGATTCCTGGGCTTTTATTTTTGTTTTTATTTACGGAAATATGTACTCAACTGTTTTAATTGCAAGATTAGGTACAGCTTATTCAAATCAGACTGATGATGACAATGCTTATTTATTGTAAATATAATTAAGATACTTAATGTGATTTAACTCTATGTAAAGTGAGAATCCTTGATAATGTATATTTGTCATTTATTTATTTTTTTTTTTATACACATTAACATATCCTCTCTCCTCTGAAAAAAATATATAACGATTGTCAAACCGAATGGAATATTCTTATTGGAGAGCGAGCTGTCCAATTTGCGAAGCACTGCCAGAGGCGATCCAGAAAGGAGATATTACATCGAGGGAGGCGGCAAAGCGGCAGGAGGGATATGAAAGAGTTAAGGGAGGATGTGCGGACGAGGCAGGCGAGGTCGGAGCGGTGGAATTTTCGATTTACGAGGGAGGAAATAGGTCATCGAACGGCGGCTTTGGGGATGTTGCATAACAGGTGAGGGGTCTCGGAAAAGTGTCTGTTTCTGGAAAATCAAGTTCCCCTGACGTCAGCTGTATAAAACAGGCCTTTTATCCTAGTCGCCCAATTTTGTTTTCTCTTCCATTTCTAGAGCGGTTGTCTTCCATATCATCCTCCAAGGCACGATTATCAGTTTACTGTTCGATATTAAAATAACTTGTTCATTTTTTATTCTGATATGATAATTTCAATTAATGGAACAAGGAGGCTCCTAATTGATACACAGCTATCGAGCCCGGTCCTTGCATTAATTAATGTTTACTTGCTAAAATTATGGCACTGTCAGAATGGGAATCGTGGTTTCACAGGTCCGTTTCAGGGACCCCTCCTCTAAATCCTAAAATGGGTACCTGACATGCATCATGAAATAAGTTGGGCACTGGCGTGAAATAACGTCAAGTAAGAATACCTGAAGGTCTAAAACCAGGTACGTTCATCACACATACCGCAACCCTAAATATCTGATGGTGATTGTATGTATAAATAATTAAACAAGAACTCTGCAACAGTCAAGATAACCTACTGAAATAAAAGATAATAAAGTAATATTCTTTCGATAATATTTTGTCAGTTATTATGGCTATTAATACAAACAGAGGTTCCCAAAGTAAAAGACATAAGAAATTTTAAAGTAGGGTATATTCTTATGGAGTTTTTTTCGAGGGTGGCCATTTTTACAGGTTTATGAATGTGGAGGTTTCAATTTTCAATTGGTACAAGGGAAAAACATGGAACAGATCACAGCAAGTGTAATTGTGTATAAAATACAATTCTACTTTCACTTGAACCGTTATATTAAGAAGATGAAGGCTATGAAATTTCTTAAGAGGGAGCATGTGCCTTTGGCCTTGTGAGATATCCCGAACTATAAATTCAGAGTTTCACCAAATATTTTGTGAATTACACCAAACAATTTTTAAAATGGAAGCAAGCTCCAAAAGAAGGGTATTCCAACTACTGCCGTGATTAAATTAGATAGAACATGTCAAAGTTGTCATATACACATTACAACACATCTTTCTGTTGATGTTGGTTCTCTTTCAAGATATTCAACTGTTTACTTTTCATATGAGAGTTCTTTAAAAATCAGAACAGTTCTTTCAAAAGCAATAAAAAGCCTGTTTCTACCAAACTAATCTTGCTACTTGCTATGCACTGGCGGATCCAGGATTTAATTTTTTTTTGGGGGGGGGGAGCTTCAGCCCGGAAGATTTTTTTTCGTATACATATAACGATAATTAATTTGAAAAAAAAAAAGAAATTAACTACCTATATGAAATGGTGTTTAAGTGGTTCTGGAAGTCCTATTAAATGTAATTAAACGAACAAGAATACTTTAAGAGAGAGTTTTTAATATTTTTTTCTGTAAAACATGATTACATTTTACCATTTTGGGGAGGAGGGCTTCAGCCCGAAAGCCCCTCCACCCCCCCGTAGAGCCGCCTGTGTTGCTATGTATCATTAAATATATTTATGATGTTTTTGTGGAGTCTTGAAAATTTGCTGAAATGAGTCAAATAAGTTCGTAAAAGTTATTAGAAATCTTATTAAATTCTAAAATCCCGTATTTTCTTAGGATAAGTACCTTGCGCCAACGACCACCAAGGATACTGTAATCAAAATGTATTTAAACCCTGTGTTAGCGATAAACGCAAAAACCACCAGCGGTAACTGGAGATTTTAGTAATTATCTTAAAAAATCAGTCAAGAAAGCAGTATGAAAAACGGCCTAGATTAAAATCCTATTTACACATAAATAAATTTATTCCTTTCCGTCAGAGAACAATGGAGGACAATTATAGAAACGAATAAAATGAAAGAAAAGGCGAAAAATCAGATTCGAATATAGTTAATAGATTTATTCCACAATTATTGGCAAACAATAATATCTTTTTCATTGTGCGTGTTTGACCTTTGTTGTTTTTATAGTGGTTCATTTGCTTATTGGTCATAAATAAATTAATCAAACATTAGTATTTGATTGCAAAATTTATTTGTAGGTTTCGAGGAAACTCTGTCCCTCTCTTCAGCAATCTAAAATAATGTTACAGTAAATAAATATTTTTAGGTTCATTCATGAATCCAGTCATTATTAATAAAAAAAATAATGCTCAAAAAACAGTTTACCATAAATAAATATAATAATTCACCTATATGACACAATTGAAAACAATATAAAACTTACTTATTGTTTTCAACATTTATTTATGATTTTTTGTTATTAATAATGACTGGATTCATGAATGAACCTAAAAATATTTACTTACTGTAACATTATTTTAGATTGCTGAGGAGAAGGAGGACAGAGTTTCCTCAAAACGTACAAATAAATTTTGCAATACTAATTTTTTTATTAATTTATTTATCACCAATAGGCAAATGAACGGACTATAAAAAGAACGGTTGTCCTACCGAAAAAGTTTCCACGGGTTCTTATAGCTTTGTCGATCATCCGTTTTAACAGAAGAGTACAGTTTTCTTTTCTTGCTAATCGAGCTCTCAAGGCCCATTAGCCCCCGCTTAGTTCCTGAGGACAGGTTGAATGATGAAGAGACAAAGTAAGAGGGAGGACCGAGAAGAAGACAGTGGCGTGATAATAATTGGCAGTGGTACTAATTGCCAAGGGGCCTGGGGCTGGCACGAAGATGGAGAGATAGAGGTAAGGTAGCCAGGTGAGGAGGAAGCAGCTGCGACGGTCCTTATGTCGTCGGATAACTTCCTCTTCCATTCCTTATTCTTCTATATCATTTTAAATATATGTATGTATATATATATATATATATATATATATATATATATATATATATATATATATATATATATATAATAAACTTTAATATAAATAAACCAAAATAACAGTTAGTCCCCGAGAGGTTTGGTAATGAAGGACGAACATAATTTAGAAGTACAAACCAAGGATGAAGCAATTTTCTTCCAAAGAGAGGAGCATTATATTGAAATATATTTAAATCTAAACGTATTAATTTTATTATTCATGACCTCTGTGAGAAAATCCTTCAAGATTGTTTACAGTGATTCTTGTAGAATTAGTGTCAATGTATATTCCAAATTTTAAATACTTATTAAAGAAAACTACATCTTTTCAGGACTGATTGAGATTTTGGTAGTGAACAAATGATCATATAATTACCGTATATAATAATAATATATTATAATATTGTTTTTGATTCAAATGTTATGTCTTCACAATTCTGCATGCTACAGCTCTTTAATATTAAGACAAAATCAGCTATCGATACAGTTACTACTGACGTTTTAAACGGCTGAATTTAGGATGAATGCGATCACCATGGCGAATATGTCGAATGAGCTTTGTTTTCATTACTATGAGCTTTGAACTTTTTGAGTAAATGGAAACACGGGAAATGGTTACAATGAAATGAGGTCATCGGTGTTCAATAACCACCCCTAACCACATTTATGGCAGTTCTTGAGAATGATTCAAAACTACACCTTAAGAAAAGAGCTTAGAAGTAGTACTTTTATTTATTGAAGAGAAGAAGTTGTTTGGGGTGTTCAGTAAAAAAAATAAGTAAAAATAAATGATTGAATATTTAATAGTTTACCGTTGCATTATAAAGGAAGGAGATGGTCCGGGATGGCGGTCATAAATAGGCTAAATAGTGGCAAAACTATTTTATTAAAAGGCAAAGTTTCAACCCGACTTTGCAGGTCTTCTTCAGAGAGGTGTGTTTAGCTAGGAGTTTCACTTGGACGAATAGCTAAGAGAAACCCTTAGCTGAACACACCTTCCTGATGAAGACATGCAAAGTCGGGTCGAAACGTTGGCTTTTAATAAAATAGTTTTGCCACTATTTAGCCTATTTATGACCGCCACCCCGGACCATCTCCTTCGTTTAAAAATAAATTATATTTATTTTGCCGACGTTTCGGCACAAAGTTCAGGCCTTTATCAGGGCTAGTCTTACTTTTATATTTGAAATTAGATATGACATTTTATACATTGGATCGAACTATACTTGTTGACTAATAGAGTTAATTCTAGCTCTCCTACAAGATTATGACATCTAAAATATAAATTTTGGTCTACAGGCGAGAATATGACAATAAGAATATAACTGCAATAGTGATTTGTTCTGGGGATCATAGGGATAGATATAGCAAGAATGAAGGAAGAGTGCTAAAAAGGGAAATAGTTATCAATTGATTTTTATATAATTTAATATTGATATGAGGTATGTAAGACAATTATTATTAAAAAAGAATAGGGTAAGTACTGTTTCTAGGTTTATGGTTGTGAAAGGAGGTGATATGGTGGAGATTCCGCTCAAAGGCCATGTTTTCCCCCTTAACTAATTATTTAATTAAGAGTACACACTTTATAGAGGCTGGGCGTGGCACAGGAGGATCTCCTGATCTCAGGGTCACCCTATGCCCGATGAAAGATAGCAAACAATTTTTTTGCCATGAGCCAGTATTCGAACCTGGGACCTTAAGCATTGGACGCTCAGCGTCCTACCACAGAGCTACTCCACTCTCTAAAACTATTATTATTGTTTCCTAAATCTTTAAAAGGGGTCTGATGTGTCCTGGGAGTGCTTTTAGATCAGTAGTTATTTGGGTTATGGGCGTTGTCAATATACTTTATTAAAATTTGGCACATTTAATAAGCTTCATTGTTTAAACGGAATAAAAAAACTAATATATTTGTTACGGATCATATCCATTGTATTAACTAATGAATAATTTTAGACGATGTCTGACGCATGTTTGGAAATAAAACAACGAATGAATAATCATCACATTGTTTTGAAAACAATCAAATGAACATTCCAATTTTCATATCGGGCGCCAATTACACAGTTGATGCTATTCTTCAATAACGCCGATACGGAGTTGTAAATAAATCCGAATGATTGAATTATGTTTAAACCAAAGCGGCGGAGACCAGTAAACCTTGAAGAGATGAACGAATGGAATGTGGAATCGAT